GAGACGTGATTCATTGGTGGTGTACCGAATTTTTAATGGTATATATTTAGAGAAACAGCGGGAAAGGCGCAAATAGCAAAACTGGATGGTTTTACAGTGTAAACGTGTTGTTTTATTCACTTCGGCTTCTCTTCGAACAAGACGAAGAAGGGCAAGATCAATTACATCAACATCATCGTAGGGATCTTCGTCGGTTAAAAGTAATGTGGCAAATAACGGTAAAAGAACCACACATTTGCATTTAAAAGTCTGGGATACCACTGGATTGTTCGCGTAGGCGCTACAGTTACACTAGAGGATTCATAAATATTTCGGATTCAGGATTCCGGGCTTATTTTATTGAAGGTATTCGGATCATTTCGTAAGCGTTCATAGCGTCTCATACAAAAAAACGCATTCGAATTCCCAACAGTTTACACACATCGATGAAACTGGGTGGCGGACGACGGCGACGCGGCAACGAGAACAACCGCGTCAAAACGCAAAAGGTTTTAAAAGTTAAACGACAAATTTTGCATATGTAGCGCGCTTTTTGGTACATTTCTTTGCCGTGCACGACCACGACAGGAAACTTTTTTATCCCACGTTTAATTTGGATGACGTGAAAATAAACACAGGATGTAGTTTTCTCTACAAAAGTCTCTTCAGTAAAAATACTAACACTACTCATAATTCAGTACACTGAAACTGGACCTGTTTTGAGTGATCTCTCATGCCTTAGATTGCAGGGTAGACTGATCGAATCAACAATTACAACGCCTCGCAGAATTCGAGGAACTGAAGTATATCTGATACATGCTCTAAGCTACATAATGTGGCGGCAGCTTAATTTAGACTCCTAGGCTTCAGGCAAATCTCTGCTAAAATTTTTTGCGTGAATCCGGCTCGAACAGCTGCGAAGGACCGAACCAAGCCCTGTTTCAGAACACAACTGAAAAAAATCTACACCTAATCTCATTCCAAAGGACTACAAACTCTACCATTTGAGCATTACTAAACGTGTTTATAAATTGTGCTCCCTTCTAGGTTTAGATCCATTAGTACTATACTGGCTCCCCATGAGCCACACTTCTTCATTTAGCCATGTACATGATGTACCTTGAGGGTTAACCTTTAGTTAATTCCCTAGTTTTGCACCGCGCATCACTTAGTGCGCATAATATTGCAACTTCAATGGGGGCTGTTATTTCCATTGGTCTTCTAAAAAGAGATATTTATGTCCCCATTTGTAGTCCTGGCGGTTTTGATAATTCTACGCGGCTAAAAAGGTGTTTGTCTAGAAACTCGCCCCAGTGCCCTCGAGCAAAATGATCATTTGCAGCCGTACCTGTGTTGTTACGAGACCAGTAACCACTTTTTTGGGCGGCAAACAAACGGGCTCAAGGTTTTGGTAAGATTCCCAGTTTTTGCTCCAAAAAAAAGGAATTTTTGACGGTTGTTTAAGTATGGAACATTTTGCATAACTTGGAAAAACCACCTAGAATTAAGGGCACACCGGGCGAAAACAAGCTCAGTGATCCCATCTTTTTATGATTTGCAGTTTTTGAATGTCCTAGTATGTCTGACATTTGTGCCAGGTTTGAAAAAAATCTGGACAGTACATCATTTTCTAGGGAATTACCTTAAGAGATGGTAAGCATTGCTGTGCTGACTCAGTCAATCAATATTTTTTATTTGCTCTTTGTTTGGTGGACAATCCATTAAAACAAATATATTTGCATGCTGATAAAGTCTTTGTTCTTTACTAAGATAAACATTCATTTTTTTTGGCATAATTCACACAACCTGGTATAGATACTGTATTGGTCAAAAATCCCCGCGGCTAATACTTAAAGATCAATTTCATATATTATAATAACTATATATAAGTCTACATCTTGCTAACATTTATTATCAGTATTCAAACTTTAAGAGCTGTGCAAAATTTCAGAAGCTGATGATTCCTGATTGCTGTGTTAATGGCATATGATGCACAATTTTTATTCATTTATGACTTCACCCCACCCCCTCCTCAAATTTCATAAACTACCAGCAGTCTCTCTCTTTCTTAGTCCGTTGAACGAAATGTGCGAGATGCGCGACTGCATGACCACACCCTTCAGTTTCCTGGAGAACTGCGCACACATGCACTTCCCTCACTAAATCTGAAGAAAAAGAGACACTCACTTGCAGTCTACAAATTTCAGTTATTGCTTATTCAATATGGGTTAAAATATAAATTTTATATTATCTTTATTTACTTACACCAACTAGACATAAGATATGTTGTTAAGTGCATATGACCCAAAATTTGTTACAAAGTGGATTAAAAATAGAAATTAAACTTGTTTTAAGAGATGCTGCATTTTGGGCCTGGGTCTGGGTGACATACTTTGAGGCATTGTTCTCATTATACTAGGCTTTTGCACCACTCTTGCACGCTACTATATGCCTTTGTTTGGCAGTGGGGCGGAGCTAAGAACAATACCTCAAAATAGGTCATTGTTTCACTCAACCTAGGAAATTACACACCCTTCTGACCAAAAGCTTCTCAAATATATAAATTTCGTACTTTTAAACCAAGCATGGAGACCACTGGTTTTATTCTATTCATGCAAATTGTACCTCTTTAAAGCTGACAGCACGTTTATCAAATTTGAGGTGATATGCACTTAAGGTTTGTTGATGTTTATGTTCTTTAGAATTTTAATTCTGAAAACTCAGTTTGAAGATTAACATTGCAGTTAAGAGACAAATATAATCATTTATCAGTAAATAAAACACCCCTACTGGCTGTTGCACAACTTTAATTCTTCATACCAAACTAAGAACATCTGGGTAGGAAGCTGGCACTAGAAATACTTCCTGGTCGGGTGTTTCAGGGGCAGATCCAAGATTTTTTTTAGGAGGGGGTGCACTCATCTCTTGCTCTACTTCAACACCAATAAACCACATAGTTTTTTTTTTTTGCAGAATACCAGTTGTATTAGAAAACCGCAGGTCATCTCAGGGAGGGGGGGAGGGGGGTGTGCACCCCCTGCACCCTCCCCCTAGATCTGCCCCTGTGTTTACTTGCCAGTTAGCACTCACACCAGTCTCTGACACTTAACTAAAAATACCTGGTCATTCAGCTAAAAGCCGAGCAATGTTTTTAGAAAATATGAGGCTTCACACAAATTGAGCCAAAAGGGAGTTTCCACTTGCAACTGATTATAACTGAACATACCTAACTCCTTAGGGGCCGACCATTTGACTTTTGAGAGGGGTACGGATGATTTGGCCTCTGGTGATAGAATTTTTTTCCTGGAATGCAGAGGTGTAACATTTTTTTCCAGCTTTACACGCCTTGAAAGATATTTTTGTCAGTGTAGGAATTTTTTCCTTTCGGTATTTCCTTGCAAGAATTTGTTTTCCCTGAAAGCCAGTCTGAGGGATATTTTTTCCTGAAATCACCCATACCCCCCTCACCACCTCAAAAGTCAAATGGTCAGCTCCTTAGAGAGGTGTCAGCCTGA